TTTACCTTCTCTTACGCTTTCTCTCTCTTAAAATTTTAGATTGCGGATTGACCGATCAAGGATACAGGACGACGTCACCCCACATCCCTGGCTATACTTTCTTAATTTGTAGTTTTTTGAATGTAATTTATACATTTTAATTTTTAACAAAACTAATGAAAATAGTTAGAAAATTTTGAGTCTTAATGATAATAATAAAATAAAAGATAAAGTAAATAGTAATAAGATTGACTTTTTAATGTAAAAATACGATTTTTCGTTAAAATATAAGTACTAAGAGCTTTTCGTTAAAATTCCCTTGATTTTTTCTTAATTTTGTTTTGGTTTTACCCTTTATTTTTTTGCTGGTTCTGTTTTCTTATTTGTTTTTTTCTACTTGATATCAATCGGTTAGTAAATGAAAAGTACTTCCTAACTAAATTCATTTTTAGTCCAAAACCAATCACATTTATTCAAATGGGCTGCCGTTTTTTTGTTTGACCTTTCATTTTACTAAGCCAGCGCAAATCATGGAATAATCTCAAAAGAATTTTACGGGTTTATTCTCTCACCATTTTCTTTTCAAAACGAAGAAGACCGTTAGACCTTAGACCAAGTTTTTGCATAAACAACATTATATAGTGCAGGGAATAAATAGTTTACATAAAACGAATTTATCGCAATCATGACTATCTGATTGTTTTTCTATCGAGCATCTTGGAGAAGTAAAAACTAATTTTGCCGCAAAGTCAAAGGTTAATGCTTTCTTTTCCAGTTTCTAGCATTCCTTGTTGTCCAAGCTGCTTCTAGTCAATGGCGCTAATTGCTCTCATAATTTAGTTCCGGTTGCCACCTCCCTAACACCAGTTTCATCATTGTTACCTAATTCCGAATTTGTTCATAATTTATTGCCTGCAAGGCTCTACTCAACCTAAGTAACGAATCAACGGATAAAAATAAAAATAAAAATAAAACTACTCGGATACAAGTCCACACTACTATTCTCGAAAGTGACCATAAAAATTATCTGCATACCATGACATATGTGGAGGCCCCAGATAACGACATGGTCCTCGTTTTTATAACACTTTATGTGACAGACGATTGATTTTTGACGTGCTTAACCTTCATGTAACTAATGTGATACAGCAAAACGACTTTAGCCAGCCAGCTTCATCATCTCGTGTCCCTAACATTGATTTAGCAATCGCCTCATGAACCATCAGTCAGGCCATCTCTTATGGCTGCTTAAACTGATGAGTAAATAGAGAATAAAAACCAGGCGTTATGTAACGTAACAATGGAAACGCTTGTTCTGCTCTAGTACACAATGCACCAAAACCGTGGTCATATGCTTTATCTATTTGGAGTTACTCTCTAAGGTGGTTGCATCTCTCATACCAAGACCGTTGTAGACGTGACACCATTGGCACAAAACCGGCGTTACATGTTTTTATGGAAAAATGATCCGAATCCAGCTCAACCCTAGCTGGACTCCCATAAACTCATTGGGAAGCCTCTTGATAGTAGTTAGCCGCAAAATCCTGCCGGTGTTACAAGCCTTCTAAGCCACAGGGATGTTAGGTTCGTTTAAATTCACAAAGGCCTCAGCTCGAGCCATGCGTGCCATTGCCGCATTCCAAGACACAAGATGGTTCATAAATGTATCCACGTACTTTCCCCTGTCATTCTGTTAACAAGTTACCCAAGGATCATTAAAAAAATTAGAGCCAGCTAGTGGAAACTAAATGAAGTTTGATACCAATACATACCTTGAAATCCAGATAATAAGCATGCTGCAAGAACGAAAGCAAAAGGGAAAAAGTATTAGCATATCTAAGAAAATTTCATCTCCCTCCCAACGAGAGAGGGAGGGAGAGGGGAGAGAGAGAGAGAGAGAGAGAGAGAGAGAGAGAGAGAGAGGGGAGGGGTCGGGGCGGGTAGAAAAGAGCAGAGAGCGAGAGATATCATTTACACACCTCCCAAAGATCCAAACTGATTATTGGCTGCAGGATAAGACATAATTAATGAAACTGCTGAAATAAGTGTCAGAATGAAATTGGGAAAATTTGATTTTACTTACTATGTCATCCCAAACAATTGGGCAAATGGCATTCGAAGTTTTAATTATCTGAAGTCGTCTCTCTTCTCTCTTTACTGGGAAAATGAAACAAGGAAAATTATCGATAACCAGAGGAGTTAATTAGCAAACAAGGTCACAAGATGAATTCTTCGGCAGGTTAGTACAGAAACTTAGTGCTGTTGAACTCCAAAAAATTAATCGAAGTTTGAGATTACCCAATCAATGAATATAAAGAAAATTCATTCTTTGAAATTCCAGACACATTAACTAATACATGTTCAGAAATTAACATGAGGAAGGACTTACAAACAAGCCAAACCCAGCCAGAGCCAAATAGTGTAAGTGCTGCTTCTGTAAACTTCTCTCTGAAATTTGAAAAGGAACCAAAATCCTTTTCTATCTGCTGGAGGACACCCAGTTGGGGCATGTCTCCTCCTCCCGGTTGCATGGACTCCCAGAAGAAGTCATGATTCCACACCTACAACGATAAAGTCAAAGGATGTCATCTCATAATCCCCAAATTAGATGTCGAACAAAGTCAACTTTACTTGTTGCAAATCACTTTACGCAACATGTCACTTGTTTGCAATGTTTTTTCATGCTATGACCAAGACTGGACTTCAACTTAGCGAGTCTTAAACCAGTCCAAAACTGCACTAAACCTTTAGGAACAACCTATCAGGAAAACTAAAAATTTGAAGAAGCTTTAGAATCAGTTCTGTTTCAGGCTACACAATTGTATCACATATTGTCTGGTGGTAGTACATTTGAGCCTAAGAAAGTCAACTAAGCATATAACAGCTTGTAGCTAAACGTTCCACATCTTTGATCAGTGACCCCTATGCAAGCTCATTGATAGCATTTAAAAATGATCCAGTCAAGAAAAGTATACAAATTAACTAACGATTTTGAAGATACCTGAGCAGCGTTGTTAAATTCAGGTAAAGGATTCCCATTATTATATGTTGCTTTGACAAGTTCATCGAAAGTGTAGCCATATAGTACGTCACTCTTCTCCAGCTGTTTGTTCAGACCTTCCACAGAGTTTCGATGATGGCCTCCCCAGTGAACTTCCAATGTTCTTTGACTCATATACGGCTCCAAAGCATCCTGAAAAAAGAAACATTACAGTTCAGTCAAGGAAGAAGATCATATGCATATTGCACGCATAATATAAATACATGTATGTATCATCACGTGACAAGAATAAGCAGCTCAAATCAGAATAGTAATCTCTCCACAGTAAGATTTATAACACGAGATGGATAACTGTCACAACTGAGGGCTTTCATAGAATCAAATGCTACACCACACAAACTTCAGAAACCAAACAATCAAATTACAAAAGTATCTTGCAAATCCAATCAGGTTACAACAACCCGAAAAACTTGTCTTGGTGCACCTAATGTGACATTAGAAGCTGACTTGGCCAACCCGATTTCATGTCCTTAAAATTGGTTTAAGGAGAGAGTAGTTTACTTACAAGTTTATAAGGAGGTTTCTTCAATCCATAGTAAGCGACAACTCTAGAAGCTCTTGGAGACCCACTGGGCTGTCTTTTCTGCTGCTTACACTGAGAACATAGAGAGCCAACAGACACGCATTCTATAACCAGTTGTTGTGAACAAATAACCACATCTTATGGCGCAATCGAAAATTTGAATTCATTACAACTTACAAGGGGCAAATAAACGCGGCAAACACAAACGAAACTACAACAAACTATATGGAAAAATAGCAAGGTACACTATAATTATGTACCGGACGAGGAAGCTGGGGACGCTTAAAAGAGTGAGAAAATTCAGTAAATAAACGGTGAGAGGTTGGAGGTGAAGGACTAGAAAAACAGAGTATCATTGCTCCTTTAACTGCTCCCCTCGCACTCAAATATGCATGTCTGCGAGATTACGATATACGGATAATTTAATTAAACCTTTTTTTTTTAATGGAAATAATTTAACTGAAATGAAGAAGCTAAATTTGAGGGCTGACATGCTTGAACAACAGAACATTAACATAATTGTGAGAGAGAGAGAGAGAGAGAGACCTTGGTAGTTGGTGTTGATGAGGAGCGGCGTCCGGTGGGTTGGGTGAGGTTTTCCAATTCCCGCTACGAGTACAGAAAGAGTGAGAAGCCTTCATATGAAGGGAAGGGGGGGAGGTTATCGTTTCGTCTGCAGCTTCTGTTCATTTGTTTACTTTTTCGTCCTCCTATCATTAACAATTTACAGTCTGACCAGAAAAATCACTGTTCGTTCGACTCAGGTCCATTTGTTTACTTTTTCGTCCTCCTATCATTGCCAGAAGGAAAATCGAAGATTTTAACTCCCCGGGACGGAAAAGGACCGGATCCTTTCCTTATGAATCTTGGGAATTCGTGATCCTAACCGTTCATCATTTATTGTGTGGTCAGAAATTATTTTAAAATTTAAAATTTAAAAGTAAATATAAATAGTACTTATCGAAAACTAACCGCACAATATACGATGAATAGTCACAATCACAGAATCCATAGGATCCTTATGAAAAGGATAAGGCGAGGATCCTATTCTCCCGCGGACAATATAACAAAATTGGGAATTCAAGATACTATCTTTTATACCATTTATTCTTTTAACATTCCTATGAGAGTATAAGAGTCTATTTCTTTCTAAATATTGAAAATTTAAAATACACAATTAGAATTTTAAGTGCCAACAACTATTTGTTTCATTTATCCACTTTTCGATTTTGCCACGTTTTCCTTGTACCAATTTCGTGGTATACCATTTATCGTCTCGTCTGGTTTTCTATGGTATGGACATCTCGAATTCGAAGTGGCTCTTTTCTCTAGAGTAGAAAACCAATAAAAATTTAGGAAAACTAATGAAAATGATTTGAAAACTTTAAGTTCTAACGATAAAGACAAAATAAAGAGTAAAGTGAATAGTACCTTGATTGACTTTTTAGTGTTAAAATGTGGTTTTTCATGAAACTGAACAGTACCGCGGACTTTAAGTTAAAACTCTCTAAAAATTTACCTAAGAAGTCATCAATGGATGGATAGATCCCTTTCAAATGGCTCATACAAATTCTCTTACAGTGAGCGTGTAAAAACATATTGCAAAGTATGAGTCCGCGGAAGGTAATAATTACAGAAAAATTACAATATGAAATGAATGAGGCATTGACCCCTCTCCACTTCGCAGCTTTGGATACCTGATCGATCATTTATGTGCTATGTCACGAGTACAAAATTGCAAAAGCACCATTCTTAAACCTGCATAAATGCACATGACAATGAACGAATCTAAATGACGAGATGATATATCTTAGAACCCCCAAGAGCACTTAAAATAATTACCGTGCGTAGATTAAAACTTTATCCAAGATACCGAAGCAAGACCCCGTCATTCCCCAGCACAAATCCTTTTTTGTCATCAATAAACCTGCAGCAGTATAGAAATTATAACACCAAGTTGCAGTATTTCAAATCCACTGAAAAATCTCTCGCGGTAAGATCGCTAAAGGGAAAGGAATTGTTATTGGCACTCCATAAATCTAATTGTGCACTCCAAACTTTCTATATTTAGAAAGAAATATACTCTTATACCCTCATGACGAGTGCCCAATCAGATTTTTGGAGTATCAATAATAGTTCTAAAGGGAATACCAAATTCACAGACAAACGTCTGGAAAGATTAGACTTACTTTACAGAGTATAGATTCGCTGCAATATTGTCCGCTGCTTTGTCACGTGTCCATGTCTTGCCACCATTGGTAGTTTGCAGTAAGATCCCACTTCCCCCAGCTGCCCAAGCCTCATCCTGCATGGTACAAACAGTCACTAAACATGTAAAAGCTAATTACACTAGGAGGGTTCAGATTACAGTAATTGAAGGAGACCTGCACGCTTATGAACTGTAAAACCATTACCTTTGATCGGTACCCGACATCAAGAATGCCAAAACCCCGGCTTTGGACTGGAACTTCTTCAAAATCCTCAGTTAACTGAAACAATAAGCAATAGCTTAGCTTCTGTACTACGAAAGTGACAAGGTTACAGGGTGAATTCTCCTTGCATGATAAGATTACAGGGAAAAACAGTATTTACTTACCCCGGTACCTTTGCTCAGATAAAGTCCCCCTCCACGAACAAGGAGCCAAAGACCACCATCAGCTCTCCATCCCATGTTTTGAATTCTTCTTGCAACTGTTCTGTTATGTGGCTGCCAGTATGGCTGAAAATGTAAAGAAGGCAATGAATCAGAGACTTCACAATTAACATGAGTGCATGAACATATCCCATAAACTTCAGATTTTCAGGGGAGTAAAAGCTAAAACCACAGTGATTAGACAGAAGGAAAAAGCCATATTGCATAGAAGAGGAGAAACTCACCTGGCCAGGCTCCCAAGTGAGATAGAAGTTACCACGGCTTGAGACAGCAACATATTTTCCATCAGGGTGAGCGATTCACAGAATTAAAAGTTCCGGTGTAGTAACTTGCACCACTAATTCCACTAGACACTGTTCTGAAAAAGTAAAGGAGATACATGAAGCTTGTTGCCTTTATATCATCTATAAGACTATAAAAGAGCAACCAACTTATGAAAATCTGAGGAAAACTAAAAGAAACCATCACAGATCTTCACGATAAACGTAAAATCTAAAACTTTGAAATATTTTGTGAACATCTTAAGTATTCAACAATAATCTTTAATCCAACCACTGAATGAAAACATACCTATTAAGGGTAGCGGAAACAGTCTCCTGAACAGCAGCCCTCCAGTTGTAGCCTCTATTTGATGTCACATAAATTGCACCTTCGTCAGTCACCATCTCTGCACTCTTCTCACCAGTTGCCTTTATATACACCTGGAAACATTACAACAGATTGACTTATCTCAGCTTACCTATATCCAAACGGAAAACAATGTTGATTACTTCATCCAATGTTTTGACTACTTCATAAAAACCGCATCAGCTAGATATCACTTAAATCGCATAGAATCATGCTAAGAAGGGATATTTGAGACTAAATAAGCAATAGAAAGGTTTACCATATCTCCAGGAAGCTGAGAGCTTAACGGTATCCGTTCCCAGCTATCTCCGGAATCAGAAGTGTGCAAAAGAATTGCAGGCTTTCCAACAATCCAACCCTCCTTCCCTTTGAAGCTTATGGCATTGAATCTGTAATTAAAATCTTCATCTTCCGCTGACGGAATCGAACGTGGAACCCAAGTTTCTCCGCCATCCTTCGTCTCTAAAAGGGTTTGCCTGGTCCCCAAAAGAAAACCTACCCACAGAAATTAACCAACAAATACTCAAATTTAATTCCAGATAATATGAATTTTAGCATAAACTAACAGCACTTGGAATTTTATCGCATGCATTTTCTGAGGAACCAAACAACAAATTATGGAGAGAGAGAGAGAGAGAGAGAGAGAGAGAGAAGTGGGTTTACCATGCTTGGGGTCCTCGGGTACAAAAGCAATGTCGAGGAGGACGACCCCTGGGTCGATAGGAAGGGAAACTTTCTCCCACTCCGAAAGCGCGGGATCCTCCGCCTTGGCCGGCAGTACGGATCCGAACAGCGGCAAAGTGGTGAGGGATAGAGACAGCGCCGCCGTCTCAGAAACGAAGTGTCTGCGACTGACGAGGGAAGAATCGGAGGACGAAGAAGAAGCTCGAGGTATAGATAGAGAGGTCCGGAAATGGCGAGGAGTGGTTGCGAATTCAAGAGATGGTTTCAGGTGAATTGTTGATTTGGAGAAGTCCGTCGTCAGTTGCAGAGTAGGCGCCATTTTCATACTCTCTCCTTCCAACAATCCCTCTCTCGCTCGCTCGAGTCTAGACCCCTCTCTTATCTCTCTTATCCGGAACAGAGAGAGATACATGGCTTCGCGGGTGATTTCGGAAACATCCACGTGGATAGGCCTTATAAAGTATCTATTATGTGAGTGTATATTGACTAAAGCAAGAAGGAAGAACCAACAGGGGATGTAGCTCAGATGGTAGAGCGCTCGCTTAGCATGCGAGAGGTATGGGGATCGATACCCCACTTCTCCATTTTTTTTTTGCCTAATTTTCTGTGTTTAAAATTTCCTTTTTTTTTTTTTTTTTTTAATTAATAAAAAATTACGGTTTAACACCTCAAGTTTTGAGTGTTATTGGACCTTCATACATTATTTTTAAAATATTTCAATCTCATTTTGCAATTTTACACATTTGTTATTTTTTTTTTATGTTGTCAAATGATAGATTTATTCAGTGTTATATTTTCTATTAATTTAATAATTAAATAATAACGTGCTGGGATCCACAATTTTTGGAGGCCGAATTTGTGTCATGGGCTTCCCCTTTGCACCTGCTCTACATTTACCACAGAAGTTTGTGCATCAATGAAAAAAGTCCCTTTTTTTTAATGGACTAAACATCGAAACCTAAATCCATTTTTTTATGAGAGACCCAATTGAAAAACTCCAAGCATTTCATGGGTCTTTATCCAATTTCTTCAAAACATATAGTACTGCATCAGTGGGGACTGATGGGAAGGAATCGGATAACTCGTTCTCCAACTCACCGAACCAAAGCGAGTTGCTGGACTGAGAGAGAGAGAGAGAGAGATGAGGGTGAAGAAGATGGAGGGGAATTAACTCGCTATTTACACAATACCACACATGACGGGCATACAGAAACTTTGCTCGTACGGTAAAAATCAATATCGAATTCATCTTTCCTATATTTTCACGAAACCTATTTCCTTTCCCCTTGCTGCTTTCAAATGATTTCCTCGTGCTAACTCCCCCCTTCCAGCAAAAGAAAACAGTAGAGAAATCAAATGGAAGAGAGGAGACTATCGTTTTCGAAACTGAATATATATACACATCACAACCTCTTCCCCAATGAAACAGGCTGATCACGGCCGAAATATTCTCATAGTTTTGGAGACCTGGAGTCGACAAAATGGACACCTGGAAACGGCAGATGAGCACCTCCGACAGAGTACATGGCCACAAGGAACTATAGTTATGTCAACTTCAGCGGTCAAGCAGACTCGACAAAGCCATGCTGCTTTTGCTGAATCGGCTTCTTTTGCTGCCGCATCAGCTTTTTCCTGAACAAATTAATCCTATCATATGATTTTTTTTTTTATTTTTATTATTTTTATTTTTTTTTTGTAGCTTACTATCTATGTAACAAAAGGATACGACAATCATTTGTAAATACGTATAGTTCAATCGCATACCTGTTCAAGCAAAAGGATTGTCTGGGACTCCTTTAACTGTTCTTGCAGCGTTATTGTTTTCTGCAGTAGGGACTGCTTCTCCACATCCATATAAATCCCAGCTGCAGAAAGCATCTCTTGTACGGCTTGCACCAGTTCTTCAGCTGATACTCGGCCATACTGGAGCTCTTTGCCAGCTTGCAGCTGCCCACAAAGAACCATTTCGAGTTACAGAAATGCAACAGAAAGATGCTATAACCCACAACTATTTCTCAAAAAATTTCCCATTTCTCACTTGGAGTGATTCCCCTGGTCCCACAATATTATGGATCTCACCTCATGGGAGAGTTGGGAAAAATCTGAGCTCCCAAGTATTTTTCCATTAAATAGATATGCAATCATGATAGTACACAATCAATAATGGCGAGTTGGTGGCAACACCAGAGGTGAACAAACCTGAGATATTGCTTCGCCGCTTCCAGAAGTTTCTGGCATTTCGACATGAGTTCTGCTATTAACTACTGCATGACTATCATCCACTGGCATTGGTGAAGTCTCACTGCCCATCGCTATACTTCTGAATGAGAAAACGTGTGAAGAAAGAAGAGGCTGCATCACACCTGTTAAGGTTTCCACCTTGAATCTGTACAGTGCTTGGCCCGCTGATGGTCTGACGTCATCTGGAACTCTACCATATTTGAGCTTTTCTCCATTTTGAGAGCGCCATGCCACTATCTCTCCAGCGTAAAAGGGCCTCAATGGATGAAATTGTACCTGATGAACATCTTGAGGCAACAGTTCTTTGCCTATCAAACCATTGCTGCCACTAGTTGATTCCGTTTCTTGCTTGTCCGAACAAAGTTTCAGAATATCGACAATTGCAGTTTCAGTGCCTCCAGGACAGACAAATAGAGACCCAATAGGTAATGGAGTAGGAGACCCCAAAACCAGGCTCACAACAATTGCAATAACATCAAAAACCGAAATGTAGGGTGGTGGTTCAGCAACTAATATACTGGTGTTTGACCGGTTAATGAAGTAAAGTGTTCGATGCATGGATCCATCAACCCACTCTGGTATGATGGAATCCTTTGCTGCTTGTGTAATGTCTACGTACTTTGGAAGAAGCAAAAAACGAGTATGAATGCATTTAACAAACTGCAACTTCTCTGCAACAGCTTCTAATAAGTTTTGTATGGTACCAAGAGATAAATTCTTAATTGCAGGAATGTAACTAGCCATGCTATTTACAACAGTCCATACAGCACCCTGAAGTGACTTGCTCAACAGTTTCTCTCTGATGGCTGCTATTGGAACCGGCCCAATGTAATCCAAAGTCTGCAAATGCTCCTCGTGATCTAATTCCTACATTGACAAAGCAAATTTTGAATAAAGATAAAGACAACTATAATTTGACCAAAACAAATAAGCTAATATAAAAAGTAATTAAGTGTCAGAATATCGTGCTACCTCAATGACTACATCAGACAGCTTTTTAATGCCCAAGACAATGCACAATCTCTCTGGAAGGTCTGGATGTATAAATCTTAACCTGAAAGGGTCAATGCATTTTATAAATCGGGATCCATGGGAATCAACATACACACAGGAATTAGCATGAACAAGTCTGCAGCTATCATCAGGGACTATTGCTTCTGATGTCCAACTGGGCCCATTGGACATGTCTTCACCAATCCCATCACAGATAAAATGCAAAATTTCAAACACCGCCCGGAGTTCATTTGGATTTAGACGCTGATATCCACAAGTTTTCTGGAGATTCAAAAGAAGATCCCTCGCAGACTCAATTGAAAGCACGTCCTGAAGTCCCAAATCTTTGAGAACCTTCAGAAAAGGAAGATATAAAGTAGGCAACTCAAAGGCAAATGGGGATAAGTTAATTGTTAGACGGGCAAAAAGCATGTTTGCTGTCACCAAGCGCGTTCCATTTGCAGCAGGTATAAAGGGAACTCTTTGCAACTCCATTTTATCTGCACAAACCAAAGAAAGCAGAATGTAAAAAGCTGATTAACAGTAACAAATGTTTATGGACTATGAAATGTAAAAGAGTAAAACGAGAACAAAAACTAAAAAGAGTTGGCAGAATTAACCAACACAGCAATTTGCAGTTGAGATGAGATATTTCCTCCAACACCAAAGGTTTTTTTATTCTTTTTGGGCTAAAGGTTAGAAATAGTAATAATGTACGAAAACAGAAGATCAAGTACATGTGAAGATTATGAATTAAGAAATGACACAAGACAGCAATTGAAAAAAAAAGCCAAGAATGGAGTCTACCTGAAGAAGAGAGGGAATTCCAAATATTATCCAAGTACTTTAACACTTCACAAGAAGCTTCATCAATAGTCATCATGCCTGATGCAGTTGGCCAATGAGCAAGTGTGTCTTCACCACCGTTTTTTCCAACAATCTGGAAAATCATGTTAGAAAGATTTTAGCACACAATCCATCATCTTAGATGAATACACAAGGGACCTGCCAGAGTTACCTGCAAGTGTTTTAGTACAGTAGGAAAAGATGGAGGGCTTCTAAGCTGGAGTGATCCCCAGGAATACTCAGGAGGAACAAAATTTTGTCTTGAAATAATGGGAGCATAACTCCAAGCCAGAGGCCAATCCCTTGACAGAATGGCTTCGCTATATGAAGTGAGTACTCTCTTGCCACCCTTTTTTCCAACAACATTTGGAAAACCAAATTCCGCAGGTATGCATTTAATTTTTCCAAGGAGATCGCAGAAGTTGTTGCCGTAGAGGACAGCAAAGTTTGAGAACACTGTTTCAACAACAGATCCAGCTAGTGTCCAAACTTCCACTGAAACTTCATTCTGAGCATTGCTTAAATCCTCAAAATCATCCAAATCTCTGGACTTCATGCATTCAGTTCCAAGAAACTCTACTCTTTTGGCACATTCAAGTATCACCTCAGATTCTGTTGCAGTTCGGAGACCAGTTTTTCTCAAAATGCGAAGCCACCTATCTGAATTAAACCTTTCTCCTGGAAACTTTTTCCTCTCTCCAGAGAAAACAGATGTTAGTAAAGCATCGCCAGGATCATATAAATCCTTGGGCTTAGACAGATATGTGCAAAACTCATCAGAATTCCTTACAAATTTAGCCTCCTTTAAAGCTTCAATTACAGAAGAATCCATTTGTAGGTCTTGCCAATTTGTGTAAAGATATATTAGTATATCCTCCTTTTCAGATTCGGGTTTACCTTCAAACCCAGGCAAGCCAAACCTTATTAAAATCTGCTGATCATGCAATTCAGAGACTCCAAGTGCTCGAAGTAATGAAAATTCAACTGAATCAGTGGAATAGGAGAGACAACGTTCATCATATGTTTTAAGGAATGAACTTGAAGAAATGATACACTGGTCATCACTAAACAATCGTGTGTATGAACCCACAACTGTTTTATATATAGGAAGCGAACGTAAAACTTCAAGTTCTTCCCCTCTAAAATTAGAGCCATTTGACAAAAAGTCATTAGCCAAAAGTGCAAAAAGTGCATCACAATTTAAAGCTGAAAGGGATGTAAGTTCAGAGAAATAGCCAGCATTTCTAACTGCAACCAACTTGGAAGCAATAATTTGCCCTAAAGATTGGCCAGGAGCAGGGAAGCAGTTGCATGAAACAGCACAGTCCATAAAAGCTATATCAAATATAGGTATGTTGCAGAGATTCAACAATGATAACAACCAAGGATGAGTGTTTTTAGCTACTTCAAAAGCTGAAATGTAAGCTTGAACAGATTCAGATTCAGGCATATCATTGCTTCCAGTTGCTCCCATTTCCAAGGCACCTTCTTGTGATGTTGGAATACTAACCAAGGGTGGAATGAAAACCAAATTACGCTCCCTAACACGACATAAGATTGGCCGACCAAGAAAAGCGGGAATGAGGGGCCAGTCAGAAAAGAGTAAGAGGTCTTCTGAACTGCCACTGAAATTTTTCCAGAAGAGTCTTATCCATTCGGGGGAAGGACCTCCTTCACCACCAAAGCTTGATGTATCATTCTCCCATGAAAACCAAGGAACCATATTTGAGCCCATTACATGATTCACCCAGTTACCATGAAAAACTATCCTCATATGACTGGCCAGTAGCTGAAGAGTGAAATTTTGCAGTTTTAATAATGATAGTAGCACACCATTTGAAAAAATATCAGCCAAGATTGACCTTTCCAATACTTTAGGGTGGACAAACTTTTCAGCCAAAGAAACCATCAACGCCTGTTGCTCCTTGTTCCCAACCCAAAGTTCAGTAATGCCCAACTTGGTCAAATGGTTTGCTGCAGTTGGGAATGGTAAACCTTTAAGCTCAGCTGCTATTGATAGAAGATTTTGGTCTCCATTTCCATAGATGCCATTACTGCTACCTGCAACCATGTTCCTCTGAGCCAAGGGCCCTCCAGCCCTACCAATATCCTCAACAACTCCTCGGCCAAAATCAAATAAAGCCTTCCCCAGATTTGCTACCATTTCAATTGCATCTCCTGAACTGCTAGCATTCTGCATAGACGATGCAGGAAAATTATGCATATTAGGGACTGAAACAGGAGCAGAACTGCTACCAACAACTTGACTTTCCCTATGGATATAGTTAGAGTTACTGTGGTCAACTGTCAGAGAATTTCCATTTGAATTAGATGATTCCCGAATCTCAATATCAGACAAGCAGTACTCAAGAACATCTATATACATATCAACTGATCGGAGAACAAAAGATGTTGAAGAAACTCTTAAAAGATTCCGAACCATTTTAGGTTTCACTTCCCGAACTGTAATCCCCAGGGCTTGAATTTCAGTTACCAACTCCCAAGGTACTGAAAACACAGGGTAGTGCTCCTTTACAAAGCTACAAACTGTAGCTGGAAGCAGATTACCACCCACCCCATTCCCTGGCTGTGAAAGAAACATACCCTCTTCAGCCTTGGCAAGGTTTCCAGAGTAAAGCTGCCACACAGGAAGGTCAACAACACGAGCATAGAAAGGCCTTATCACCTGTTCAATTAAGCATTCCCATTCTGGTTTCAGCACTTCCATTGGAACTAAACTACAACCATTTCCTTGTAGTTTGACCATATTTTGCACATTAGACCTTGGCCAAAAGGAATAAATTTTGTCTCCATAAGCCTTCAAAGACAGGCTGATTGCACGACTTACACTTGATTCGATTGAAGAATTAGAAGCATCTTTTCTTAACCTCTGGATTTCCAATATCAATTCAATGTAGGAATCCCGCACACATGACATCAACTCTCTGTTCCAGGCTTCCATCAAATAATTTCCAGCATCAGCCCGTGCCTCTTCTGAAGCTTGCTTTTCTTGGTAATTAAAAAGGGAGCGACCTCCATTGTGACAAACCAGGAAACATCCAAGAACAGTAACAGGTATATTTATACCACCAGACAGAGGAAGAGGGGACATGATAGAACTTGCTAGACAAACATCTGCAGGATGGCCATCACGGGATATATGTGCTGCAACTCCGGCAACAGGTGTCAAGTTGTATGCGAGATATCGCCTGCAAAGAAATAGGTGGATTTCATCAAGCTCGTTATTGTAGAGAACCATTTGTAGAAACTTATCTGAGAAGTTCCTTAGAAGGATATTCTCCATGTCAGCAAGTTTCACAGCTCAATGCTTCTAGCCATACTTAAAACAAGATGGTCTCCCTTGGTTCAAAGTCATTACTGGAACCATAAGAATTCTTATAATGTTAAGTCAAACAATTTTCCAGTTGACCCATGATACAGGACTGGATCCTTTTGCATGGAGAAATCCAGTCTAAGGAGTAAAAGTGCGTGAAAATGACAGTACGGATTATTGTCTATCCTGGATGGTCCAATTGACAAAAAAGAATATGAAGCACCTCTAAATCACGGAATGCAACTAATGTTAATGATTTTAGAAATTTATATTTATCACTTAAAATTGTACAGAAAGCAAACGCCATACAAATTTACAGATCCTGATAGCTTACTTAATGCAACTTTACCCGTCAAGTCATCTAAGTTTGCCATATATATGAAATCACTGATTCCACTATCAATTGTCCTGCCCTCAAAGTATTGACTTCGCAAACTAATCAAAGGGGGAGCATCACATGTATATTTTCAACTTTTAACTTCTAAATTGTAGACTCTGCAGCGACAGATCAGGGAATAAAAAAAATCTAATATCCACTTTCTTCCATAACATACCTATCTAGAGCCATGTTTCTCGTTTGCCCAGAGCCTAGGCTGAGGGCAACGAGCCATCGGTCAACAACTCTTGCAGTCCCATTGTTCAAATGTACATCTATTACATGCAATTTTGTTGCAGCATTGGAGCTATTAAACAATCGAGATATTTGAAACTTCCTCCACTTTTTCTCTGAAAAGGGATTTCTCATGATAGCAGATGACAAATCAATGCTAACTGAACAGTCCTCACAAGGCTGTGGGTTTCCTTCCTCCCATGTTGAGATTGACACCTGATCATAAATAAAAGTATTATGAAGTAAAGTGCTGTGATTAATAGCTACATACACAGAAAAATTAAACATTAACAATACCTGCATCACCGACTTTAAGAATATAAGTGATCTAGAAGAGTGCTCCATAAATCTGTCACTAATCTGCTTTATTCTCCTTGATCCAAGTTCAAAGCATTCAGAAGACAGAGGCATGCGAATAATAGTAGAATCCGATGATGGCCATGACATATTGTGACCAATCAGCATGGGATTAAATTGATCACGGAACCGGTCAGTCAAATTAGTACCTGAAGACCAAGCATTAGAAAGTTCTTGTCTTCAATTCTACTGATCACGAGATGAAACTGTGGCATGATGTTAAGTTACCACACCACAACCACAGAACAAAGTGGTCAATAAGAAGATAAAAACTATTACTTTTGTCATTGAGGCATTTCTGAGTCAGTTAAAAAAACTACAAAAAGAAAAGATAAAAGCTAAAAAACACTAGGGAAATCATAATGATTGTCAGAAAAGTTTAAATATGGGTGCAACATCATCCTTGGGGAGCAGACAATATATTGAATGAATGGCCTATGAACAAATACCTATCAAAGAAAACATTTTTGCTGCAGGAGCACAGGTTGACGGTGCAGCAAGCACCAAACCACGAGGATCAAACATGTATAAGTAGCCACCAGAAACCACTGAGAGGAGATCACAGACAAAATAACAGCTAAGCAAAGCCAAACCATAGTTAAGTGTACTGCCCCTTAGTCTCCATGGAGGTAGAAATTGGAGGCTGCTTACTTCCTCTCTACTCAAGCTAACCCCTTCTAGAATGGCTAATAGGGCAGGCCCTTGAAATTCACCTGCAGTAATCACAATTTTGTAAACAAAATTAAGCTTAATTCATATGCTTTGCAACTAGAAGAACATTACACCTAATCACATGTTAGGAAATAAATTAACTCATTCAACAATAAATTATACAAATATTTCAGTTACCCATATTGTGTTGCAACAAAGACTGGCGAGGATGTTCCCTCTTGTCAAAGATTAGGTGTAGCTTAGTGGCTTTGCAGCAGTCTGCCAACTCAAGTAGGTCGAACAATAAAAGGTCATTGTCCCCATGTGATGCCAAAAGCTCCTTTATTCTAGCATAGTCCATGCAAGGAAGATCTTTAGTCATGTCATCATCAACTAAAGAGAGGCAGCGAAGTGATTTTACCCCCAACCTACACGCCAGATCATTGCTAATACTTGGATGTATAAAATATTTCCCAATGGGAGTACTGCTATCCATCCATGGTGCATCATTATACACAAGATTGCAAGCATCCATAAGAACTCCAGAAGAATCTGGAATTAAGATTGGAGTGTTAGATGCTTCAAAAAGTGGCTTCTCTGAGCAACAATCTGCTACAGCATCAAGGATACAATGGACAAAATTTAACTGATCTGTTGACAACGGAAATCCTTTCACATCATTTCGCAATCGTTGTAAGACATGCAAATAGTCCCAAATATCAAAACTAATTCTCACACCTAATTTCATGAGCAGATCTCTGAATTCCGATAATTCAGAAGGTACAACATACAAATATGGTGTAAATTTCACAGGTGAATCAAATGCAAGAGCATTTGGAACAACAAAGTTATCCCCAATCCAAACCCAGGAAACACCATCTAATGCTGATTTTAGCTCTGCAAATTCATCAGTGCCAATATGCTCTTGCATCATTGAATAGAGTGATGGAATTCCATCAGAAAGTGCAGCATCAACAACAGGTAGATCAGATGGATGTAATTTGAGCTGTCTATATAACTTGGATAGCTCAATCAACTGTGTGGATAAAACATGTATGTTTGGGCGATCCATCCAACCAAGTCTTTGTTGCAGGTACAACGAGCAGGATTCACCCTCTAGTATATGCATTGAGTAGGATACCACAAACATCTGGGATTTAGGTCTCACTTTGCATGGGGGTGATACATTGTTACTGGACTTCAACCACGGGATTCCTTTTAGAGGTGGATCAGCACATACAGGACACCAAGCAATAGTCCTCATTTCAGACCAAAAATCCTCTTCTGGCTGATCATCAATCAAATTACTTATGAAAGAATCTATGTCCAAATCCTCTAAAATTTGGTTCCCATTTCTGTTAAGAGACTCATCATGCATAACATCGCCATCCTCAGCTGCATTGTCCTTGTGGAAAATTGAATTCTTTGACTCATCAAGATTTCCTTCCTCCCCAATCGAGAGCTTAAGTGAAAGAGCATTTAAACAAACAAGCAACCTCCTTGCATAGCTTAGCGTCTCTGATTCGCCAGAATCATGCAACAAAGAAACTGATCTAGCACAGTCGAGCAAACCAGAATAGCCCAAAGTTCTTCTGAGTCCAAGCGTAACTAAAATATCCAAAGTTTCTGTATCTGAGAATTTGTCAGAAGGGAAAAACACTTCTCTGTGTAGCACCTTCCTAAGTGCAGGCACTCGAGGATCATAGAGCCTGTGAAACAATAATACATCAAATAGCATTATAACCATAAGCTAATTAAAGGATGTAAGGCACGTATGGTGAAAATAGTGTGTGGTGTTAATAGATGACCTTGGAACTTCAAAACTAATGTAAAAAAACATATTTATATACTTCATCTTGATACCATTTACATAGATATGGAAGAGCAAGACATACATGTAAAATTCTAAGCATCAATATTAAGAAGGATCTTATAGGTCCAAAGGTGTTGGATAAAATCTTGGTCTTTTTTCTTTTTCCTTTTTTACCAAACTTTGTTAATAATAATAGTAATCAAAAAACAATGTATAAACAGTCGGGGAACAAGATGTCCACCATCCTGTTAATATAAATCTCATAAAAAACAAACTCAAACTACAACTCTGTCACTTTGTTCAAAAAAACAAAAACCCCTACCTATATCTACACCACAGCATATGCCTTATCTAATACTAGGACAGCACAAATAAACAGTACTAGAAATGAATATAACAGGATGGATTTCATCTTGGTTCAACACTAACTCATGGAATTTGAGCAACTTTGTACTTATTCATTCACCAACTTGAACTTGCTTATATAAAATAAATAAATAAAATAAACAACGTTGACAACATAAGAACCCTCTTTTTTTTTTCTTTTTTTTTTTTTTACTAAGACAGTATTTTATTGCAAAAGACAATAAAACAAGAGGACAAAATATGTGGTCAAGAAGACCACTAGGATTAAGAACGTTAAATTGCACCAAGGACCAAACCATAAGAATCCACTGTAATTAGTATTTAGTACTAGAAACCTGTATCACAAAAAATCTAAATTAGAAGTCTCTTAACTCTCTTCTCTGCTATTTGTGTCAGGGTTTTGTTTGCTGTTTGAAGTTCAATTTTAAATTTGTAACCTAAAGCTTAGAACCTATAAATAGGACTCAAGAGGTTTATTTTTTTTATAAGAAAGAAACTTATATATTCCATATAAACTTAGATCACGTAAGTTATACCTGGAAGGCTGCTGCCAAGACCCATCGGCTGTCAAGACAAAGGGTATTTCAGAAAGTGTAGATTTCAAGGAATTATCCGCTTCAACTAAAAGCTGTACACCATGCAGAATAGCTGAAAGAGATCCCGGCTCTGAAAGAAACTCTGGCAGGCGGTTAAGTAGATGATCTTTGTAGAATTCCATCCTGGAGGGTTCTTTGATCTCTAAATATCTTCTCAGAATACTTTTTTCCTTTTCTGATTCCGCGCGTACAAAGTCATCACTCAAAAAGTCCTCCTGAATGTCACCAGGTTTAAGCAATTTGATAGGATTACTCAGACTTACTAGTTTTCTACTTTTATATGACTCAAACATAGGAAGGTGTTTTATGATGTCTATATGTTTATATTCCATTTTTTCTTCGATAAACCATTTGGACTGAAGAATGAAACTCCGAAGTTCATGCATCTCTCCTTCCGATGCATTGTGAAAAAGCCCCTCAATGTTCTCTGACCTACCTGCAACCGCCAGAAGTGCATTTAATAAGCCAATTGCTGTTGGCAACTGCACAAAATTTTTCAACTGTGGATGATCTATCGGAAGGTCTTGGCTCAGGAAAACGCATCCTATTTTCAGCAACAAAGATGACATGTTCTCACTCCAGCCATCATCCTTGATTACATTCGAATTTTCAACTAGTTGCAGGAGACGATAATGCCCAACAGGCAATATTGGCCACTTAGAAAAAAGTGACAAGTCATCACAAGATGACCTCAAATAGCTCCAGAGAAGTCTTATCCACTCTAAACTTGGTTGGCCCTGCTGACCAGGAGCCCATGTCACCTGTTTTGCATGATGCCACTCTGCCGGAAGTAATTTCAAAAGGAGTTTCTCCAGTAAAAGGCAAGACAGGAAAGAAACATTTGAGGCCTCGCTTTGGGCTATGAAACATAGCTTCTCATAAACTCCTTCTGGGATTCCACAATCTACAAGTTGATTAGAAACCGAATCCTTGAGAAGATCATACTCATCCCCTCGTGCAATATATATTCTTTCCCCAACCCCATTCTTGTCAAATGTTGTAAATGAACCATCAGCAAGGGGTAGTAACGGCAAACCATATAAACCAGCAGATTGGACGGGTATCTTCAAATCAAGTAAGCAATATTCAAGGGTCAATATCACTGTGTTTCTATCCTTGAATTCACGTTTCCTTCGAATTAACAAAGTTTTTAACAACTGTGGTGTCAAAAAATGCAATGAGGGGCAAACGTCCATAAATCTCTCTACAATTGGCTTCGAAACAGTGACCAGAGGAAGACCAGCATCTGATAATGCTTCAATAAGCTCATCCACCTTGTCAAAAGTAAAATCAGGGAATATGGCTTGTTTTGTTGAGATCCACTGGCCACCTCGAGCTTTTGTATATAATACACGAAGACCATAGTCAGCAATGAAAGTGTAGAGTTCCCGCACCACTAAAGCCCAGGGTTCTAATCCTCTTGTTTCAGGCCAAAGTGAAAAGAACAAATCACATGGGCCAATCTCCAGTGCTATCTTCTCTAGCATGTGACCATAAGCAGGGGCAACAACACCCTCAAGCAGGTACATATTCCAATCTGAGCGTTTTTTTCCACCACCAGCCATGTCGCTACCAAACCAGATGTCTCTCCTATTTGATGATAATTCGAAATATGCATTAACATGTGCCGGGAGACCAGTACTAATTGGAAGTGGTAAGAAACAGAAGGCACGGCCTTCAAAATATTTCCTATCTTGAAAAGAACCTGTGGAGACTTGAAACGCATTTGAAGCACTGGCATCAGTCATCTCCGGGATACCGCTCATTCCCGAACCAACCTTGACAGATTGTAAATATGCAGCAACGCATGCCCAGGGTATATAACTTTGGGACTTATCATTCAAAACTGCAGATTTGTTCTTAGCTTGTGCACCACCTAGACACTCAGATGTTATCCAGGAGTGTGATAAACTACCAGATGAGTTTTCTTCTGTAATTACAATCTTCTGACATTTATATGGCAAATCACTGTCCATTGACTTTCTCAATTTCTTTAGGAATTGATCTTTATCCATTCCGCTATGCCGATTCCCATCAAACAAGCTAAACACATCCTGCAGTCCATTAGGGCCCATTTCGGGCTCGCTATTGCAATGCTTATGGACACGATGTAAAAGTTTCATTTCATGTCCACTTCCTTCCTTCACAAAAACAGAGATAACTTTCACATTACGTAGAAAAAGCAAAGTCTCAGAAACAACTTTAGAAAATGAAGCAAACAGGGATATGACATCTTCAGGTGCATATCCCTCCTTCTTTATTTGGCTTCTGGAAGCAGTACTGGCACTCCTGAGTGGAAACCGGAAAAGGGTTCCAGGAAATGGATGTTGCAAGTCACACCCAAAGTGTAAGAAAGGAGAAAATTGATCAGGAAATTGTTCCATAATCCTTCTTCCCGCAAATTTAATTCGAAGGCCGGGATGTGATGGAGAGATCCCAGGCAAATTACAGGCATGAGGATCAAACATAACAATGTTTTCACCAGAAACAAATGTGGGGATGTCTGTGAAATGATAGACACAATTAAAACCGAGCCCAAATCTCCCAATTGCGAAAGGCTTCTCTAGTTTACTTTCTTGGCCAATGCGTGAGATTGCATAGAGATCTTGGGGACCAAAGACAGAGTCATTAAAACAATATAAAGCAGGGCCTTGCCAATCTGCCATTTCCGGTGAAAGAACAGAAGAAGTCCCATACTGAGTTTTGTCCAGGAGAAAGGTTACCTCAGAAGCTCCTGCATCCTCTGCATTTTGAACCAGCTCAAATAGAATTCCAGGTCCATCTGCATACATCTCAAGAATGTGTTTAAGTCTAGTTGTCAAGGCTTCATGCTGTCCAAAAGCTTCAGCAGCTCCAGATAAACTCAAATTCATAGAATCAGCACTCTGAGCTAGCAAGGTCCTGCGCAGAGAGCAAACACCAAGCTTCTCTGCAACATCAATAGATATGTTCCCGTGCACAAATTTCTGAACTGTTGTTCTTCCAGTCAGTGCCAAATTAGGTGGACCGCCAAAAAGGCTATTGTGATCCTCTGAGCCAAGCAACCACGGAGCATCATTATAAACTAAGTCACTGGCAGGGTATAATCTGCCTGACATGTCCGGTAAATAAATCTTAACTTTCTGGTCTTGTATCTGAACTTCAGCCAAATGCTGTACAATCAATAAGGCTGCTCTCATTTCCCGTGCATGGAGAGGAGAGGATTCTTTCTTCAAAGCCATTCTACATAAAATACTAGCATAATCGGTAAAGTTCAAGAATTCTCGAATACCAAGTTCTATAAATAATTCCTTGAAAACAGCTAAATCAACTGGTATGACACGTATATAGGGAGCCATATGAACAGGACCATTAAGAACAACCTCGTCTATTGTTGCAAATCCATCTCCCACCCAAACCCACCGACTACCTTCAAGAACAGCCTTCACAATGTCCATCCCATCTGAACCAATCAATCCTGTCAGCATTGAATATATCCTTGGCATTGCCAAGGCTAATTCCTGACGGAGAACCTGATCATTCACAATCTCGTTATTTTTTCCAAGCTCAAGTAGTTGGGCTGCAATGACACTTCCACCAGGTGGAGAAGACCATCCAAGAGCAGATGATAGTGCTGTGGATGAACACTCTCCATCAAGTATTCGCATGCTGGCTGAAACAAGCCACATATCTGCTTGCAATCTTACAAGCTTCGGTGGAGCAACAACAGATGACACAACAGGCCATGGTAACGTTTGAAATGGAGCAGAAACTACCACTGGGCACCAACTGATCAGCCGAAGATCATTCCAGAACTTTTCGAGGTCAGACTTCAAGTTCCGCGGTTTGAATGCGGTTGCAGCTCGTGACAGCATTCTGTTCACTGTTCCTTGATCATCATTTACAGGATGGGGTATCCATTTCATTGCATTAACTTCTAAGTAGGACAGAAGTATCTTGCCCTTTAAATGGGCCTTTTTCTGATCATCATGCATTAGCCGTTCTACCTGTCGTGCACTTTGTATGACTGTCTCAGGGGTCACAGATGTTCTAAGGCCCAAGCCTTGTAGCATGTCCAAAATACCAGGCTCTTGAAAAGAACCATAGGGAAAACAATCAGAATCCTCTAACAGTGCATATAACTCTTCATTGCGAGGATCATATAATGCAGTAGGACACCTAAGAGCACCACCGAGTGTTGGAATAAATTCTAAATTTCTCAAATAATCCCTGAAAGATACATCCTCAACACACAACTGTGGCAGGTTTTGCAGAATGGAAAGAACAATGCTGTCACGAACTTCAGGTAGTAGCTCCCCTACTCTGTTTAACACCTGCTGCTTATAGAAGCGTGCCTTCCCCATTCTCTCAATGCCAAAATATCTTAACAGAATGTCAACCTCAACATCTGACGAGCTAATAAGGAACTCAGCTCCAAGAAAGAACTCAGGGATGTCTAAGGGTGGTAAGTACTTCTGCGGATTTTCAAGATCAGAGAATTGGAAACTTTGAGTAGATCCACCACCATAGACTTTATACATAGGCAGCCTCTTGCAATTTCTTATGTCAGACTCATGCAAACAGTCTCCAAAATACCACTTCGGATCAAGAAAAAATGCACGAAGTTCATCCCTCTCTTTGGCTTCCAAATTATCAAAACATGTTACTACGCTGCCATAATTTAAAGAGACAGCATCATATATAGAGTCCAGAAGCCCTGCAGCATTACCATCACTTACATAATGAGATAAATCTGAGTGTTCAACTCCATAATTGGGGTTCAGGATCTTGCAACCAATTTTAACAAGTATTTCTTTCATCTTGTCAGAAAGCTTTTCTGCATCGATCAATTTCGACTGTCTAGAGGTTCTGTACAGATGGCCAGAAGTAGTTGGCAAAATGGGCCAATCGCTAAACAATGACAGCTTCTCGCACTGATTCCGAAGATACTGCCAAAATAGCACAAACCATGTTGAAGTGGGGTGATTATGACAGCATTCTGGGTCCCATAATACTTTGCTTTTGTATTTCCAGTCAGCAGGTACAAATCTTGGATAAAACTGAAGGAAGCACTGAATATTGAAAATAACAAGATTCGCCTTGGAGGACTTAGCAATAGCAGAGAGTCTACTTAGTACGTTGATGGGAATGTTCTTGTCAATTACTCTATCATATAAATGTTGAAGCAGCATGTATTCTAAGTCATTGCAAACAAAGTACGAAATTCCTTTGGAGGTATCCGACAATGATCCAAATTCACCATTTGCCAGTGGAAGCAAGGGCAGGTTATATGCATGTGTTCCAACATCAGCATCAAGCAAATCTTCAAGACAATATTCCAACAGTACAAGCTTGTGATATTTTCCCAGGGTAGAAACAGATCTACACTCTCTGGCAAAACAACGTACTGCATCAGGAGTGACCACCTTCTGCTGAAAACTGGAAGCATATTTCAAGAGCATGTTAAATAGACCATTGTGCAAACACACAACAGGCATTCCTAGATCAATCAGGGCCTCACTAAGTTCCTTACTCTTAGTAACTTCCTCGTCATGTAGAAAAGCTTCAATTGGTGACACCCATTTTCCACCGTCAAGATCTGAATACAACACAGGAGCACTAGAAATGTTTCTGTATATATGCTCAACAAGAATATTCCACGGCTCTTCAAAAGAACCATTAGGCCATAAGGAATAGTACAAGTTCCTGGAATCTAGCAGCCCCCTTACACCAAGAAGAAGTTGCGTAAAAGCAGGTGCCACAACATCTTCTAAAAGAAGCCTGTTCCATACAGAACGGATTTTCCCACTTCTGTCCATGTCAGCCCCATACCAAATGCCACGACGATTCGAAGAGACCTCAAAGTATCCATTAACTTGTACATTGAGGCCAGTCCTTACGGGCAGAGGGAGAAAGCAGAATGCACGACCAAGCTTGAGAGTCTGCACAAAATCACATTACACCAATATAAGTTCTACTGGATCTTAAAAATAGGAAAGTAACTCAAATGCAACTAAATAGAGAAACCATGAAAGTATTAGATATCACAAATTACATGTGCTGAATTATCGGATATGCAAGCTGCAACTGATCCCCATGGCAGCAAGTGAATATCATATTCCTTAGAAGCTTTAGCTGCAAAAGAACCAATCCTACTGGATGTGGATGCCAGCATCTGCACTAAATAAAAACTATCTGTCTTCTTCTCAGATTGGGTCCCAATTGTTGCCTCACTTAAAAACTCTACTGAATAGGAGTCCACCTGACTCTCTGTAGAGTTTACCGACTTGGGAAATCTCAACGCTGCTTGCCGGTGCGAAACAATGTCATCACTGGCAGAACTGACCGAGCAGGAGTAAAGCTTCCTGGGCTCATAGTCCCGGTCTTCCCACACATACATTTCAACACGCATGACATTTTTAAGGAAAAGTAAGGTGAAAACTCCTTCCTCATAAAGCTGAACAAACAAGGAAGAAAGGTCGTCTTGGGAATACTCTTGCCTAGAAAGCTTACTGGTTGCCGCCTGGTCTGCATTCCTTAGAGGGAAACGGAATAGAGTTCCTGCAAATGGTGTTTTCATGTCGCAACCGAAAGCACAATAAGGCAAGAACTGATCTTTGTACACAGAGATAGCTGAAGAAGAAACATAGTCAATTCGCTTTCCGGGATTGGATGCCGAAACCTTTGGCAGAAAAATGCCTTGGGGATCAAACAACACCACATACTTCCCACTCACAAACGACGGCAAATCAGTTAAATGGTACACTGAGTTGAACCCAACCCTGAAAATTACACAGAAATAAAAGAAAATCAGAACCCTAAGTCTCAATTTCCCGCCAACAGCAAGCATTACACAGAAATTAGAGAAAATGGAAAAGGAATTACCCGAATCGGCCGGTTTTTGAGGCCTGGCCATGCTTGCTACTCCCGCCGATCCTCGAAATACTTACAAAGTCTTCCTCCGTGAAAACGGCATCGTTATAGGCCAGGAGCGCGGGGCCTTGCCACGGCGCCAAGGTCGCCGAAAGAAGGGAGTCCGTGCCGTGAAGTCTACGGTCGAGACAGAGTCGGACGGTGGTAGCGCCGGCATCGTCGGCGTTCTGGATGAGCTCTTTGAGCACCGTCGTCCCCTCCGGGTAGTTCACTAAAACCTCGCGGATTCGCCGCGTCAGGTCAACCTTTTGACCGAAGTCTTCGAGAAAGATCGACTCCGGTGTCGACGCCGGAGACGCCATTCTGTATCTTGGTCTTCTCCGGCGAGCTTTGATCGTTGCTTATTTTTTATTTACTTATAACCAGCGCCATGGAATTTGAGGCAATCACAGGAGGACCGAGAGGAAGGAGGTGGGTGGATTTTTCTATTGTGGGAGGGAGACTACGAGAAAATGAGTGGGGAAATTTGCAGAAGTCGGAACACACCGACGCACACAGTGACGTGAAACGCAATGTAAGAACCATAATCACTCTTTTGTTTTCTTGGTTTGGGCCTTATAACCTTCTTATTGGGCCTCTTTTGCTATCAATTTATATGGAAGCCTGTTTCATGCAATCCGTAAGCCCAACAGCCCAAGGCCACATCCAAAGGAAATCTAAAAATCCAAATTAGTTTATGAAACCTGAGGAAGCTCTTTTGTAACAAAATACCAGACGCAGCGTAGTGGTGAGAATCGTTTTGGAATTGTTGTACGAGTACAGATGTTCTCCGAATCTTAAAAACCTAAGCCTAAGAATTAAATGATTCGAGGCTGTTGAAATTTGATTCAACGGTGACAATTATTATAATTTTAGATGGGCTCCCTGTTTGTTGCTGTTGGATCAAATTTCAATGGCCTGGATCAATCCTTAGGCTCAGTTTTTTTAGATTCGAAAAGAATATGTACTCTTGTTTTACACTTTCGTAATACGTGTCAACAATTTATTGATCGGGGATGCCATTAGGAGTGTGTCTTGGTTGCAAGGATAGATGCTCTATTATAACCAAACATACCACCATCTTTCAAGCATCTGTTAAACAAACGATCCACTTTTTCAACACATGATAAACATCTATTGGCCATATGCCCGTTTCATGTAGGCCATATGCCCAAGTCAACATCCAATGAAAATCTCAAAATACAAATAAGTTAATGAAATTCAAGAAAACTCTTTTATAACCAAAGACAAAATGCAAAACAATCGTTTTGAATACATGTGAAATATATGCTGAACGGGTTATGTCACCAAGAGTATGTCTTGGTTGCAAAAGAGAGATACTCTCTCATAACCAAAAGTATCATTTTGCAAACATCTGTTAAACGAGTAATCGTTTTTTTAACACATGACAAATATCTATTAAACAAGTGTTTTCACTAAAATTCACATTGCAAGAGAAATTATCTTCAAATACAAAAATGTCATTCTTTTATGAATTAAAAAAAAAAAAAAAAAAAAAAAAAAACTAATGACGTGGTGCGGGTTTCTCCATCTTTTTGCAGTCAACCAAAAAGAAAAGATAGGGTGGAGGGAGCTTCTACGTGCGCATGAAGTGTTTGGTGCACCAAAACAAATGCCCATTCGATTAAACTCGCATATGATGAAAAATTTAAATCAAAGAGCCGGGCAGACAAAATCAGGATGCCAAAATATGTCGGGTGGATTATACTACATTGAATAATCTCTTCTTTTTTTTTTTTTTTTATTTATGGGAATTTACTAATTGCAATTTGCAATTTGCTCAGCAGTTAGATTAAAAATGTTGAGAAAAATATAGACTCACTCTCATCTTGAAAAAATCCAACTCCACTTATCTATTTCGTAAGTGTGGATTTTAATTAGTCAATATAACACTGTTAACACATGCAATTGTGTTGTGTTCAGATGAAGTCATCCAAGTAACACCTTTTATTTCATATGAAGTCAATACAGCGTTTTTAGAGAAATGTTCATTATGAGGATTTGAAAATGATATATTAAGCTTTAAAAAAGACTTTTTGAAATCAAATTATCAATATTTAAAAAATGATATTTTGGATCATATCTACTCAGAAATGACCCCAAAAATTCTCTTTTTAAAGCTTGACATGTCCTCTTCAAGTCCTCAAAAGAAACGTCCTCTAAAAATGACGTCTTGACTGACAAAATGCTCAAAGCATCAATTTATTAGTGGCATCTAAACTAATTAGCGATCCAATTTAAACTCATAACATTAGTCTAAATAAAAATACTTTTAACCAATTAAGCTAACACTAATCTCTTGAAAAAAAGCGCTGCTAGCTCTTCTTCCTCAGTCCTCAATTAGTTCCAACATCTGATTGAGTGAGAATATTTGATTGCTTGATTAAAATACATATTTTGAGTTTGCAGAAAAATGCATTGATCAATCAATGGTCGATGGAGTTGACCCAAACAAATATCAACGGTTCATGGACGATCCAGATGGCAGATAGATAGACTTGTTGGCCAACACCAAAATATACCAATACCATACAGGTTGCAGCACCATATCCAATTATCCAAAGAGTTGAATTTGCACTCTTCAAACGTGCGCAATACAACGTGGGAAGCTCTACTCTAATGACGTACCTGCAATTATATGTGTGTACATATATATATATATATTTATACGTATAAATAAATACATATACATACACATAGTATTACATACATATAATAATTATATATATATATATATATATATATATTGTCAATGACAACGTGATGGCTACTCCTGCAGAAATGATTGCAGAATATTGGGGACCTAAATTCTTCAGTCTTTGTTCTCTATTTTCTATATAAGGAGAATAGAAACGTAGTACATGCATGCACAACTAGAGCTACGAAATAGTGTTAACCTCAACATCCCCTAAGCATCTGCGCCTGAGTGAGTCAGTAGTCATGACGAGGAACTGCAACCTTACACCGTGCGTTTTGCTAGCCTTGCTACTACTCGGTGTTCTCCACCTCGAATCAGCGGCCGCGACAGACTTCAACTACGGCGAGGCCCTGGACAAGACCTTGATGTTTTTCGAGGCACAAAGGTCCGGTAAGTTGCCGGAAACTCAGCGTGTCAACTGGCGCGGCGACTCTGGACTCAAGGACGGTCTTGTTCAAGGGGTAAGATATCTATTTACATTAATCTTTTACTATATGATCGATTAATTAATATATGGGACATGATTTTCTGTGCAGGTGAACTTGGTAGGAGGGTATTATGATGCAGGTGATCATGTGAAATTTGGACTGCCGATGGCGTTTACAGTGACAATGCTTTCATGGGGAGCTGTTGAATACAGAAAGGAAATTTCGGATTTAGCACAACTGGGACAAACCTTACGGGCCATCCGATGGGGCACTGACTACTTCATGAAAGCACATCCACAACCTAATGTTCTCTGGGGACAGGTATATATTTTCCCCTGTTTGGTCACCTATGCACGTATTTTTCTCTCTTGTGATACAAGTAATTAAGTTCGATCCTATATATTGAACTGACATTGGTAGACCACCTAAAACTACTAATTTGGACAAAAGAAAATCAAAGACTGTTAATTAAGACTCCGTTTGATAATCATTTCATTTTTTAGTTTTCAAAAGTTGAAAACTTAAAACAAAATGATTATGAAAACTTAAATGAAATGATTATCAAACCAACCCGACGTTTTCTAGTTTATCTGATTCCATGCAAATGTAAATTATTATCAGGTAGGAGATGGGGACTCGGATCACTATTGCTGGGAGCGTGCAGAAGACATGACAACTCCAAGAACTGCTTACAAGATTGACGAAAGTCATCCCGGTTCGGACCTTGCCGGAGAAACTGCAGCCGCCTTGGCATCGGCCGCCATAGCTTTCAAGCCTTACAACTCTTCATACTCTGCTCTCCTCTTAGTTCATGCAAAACAGGTAAGTAATTTGTTCGATCGTCTGAAAACAAATATCTTACCTTTTTTTTTTCTTCCTGTTCTTATCAATTAATTTGCAAAAATGTATTGTTTGCAGCTCTTCACGTTTGCGGATAGATTCAGAGATCTATATGACGAGTCCATTGGCACTGCTAAGAATTTCTACACTTCATCAGGCTATTCGGTAGGTGCATCATACATGTACATATTATTTTTTAATTTCCCGACAAATTATCTTATTTTTCGTAATTAATATGTTTTTGTTTGTAATTAATTTGGTGAAGGATGAACTACTTTGGGCGGCGGCGTGGCTGTTTGAAGCGACGAACGATCAGTACTACCTCAAGTATGTGGTGGACAACGCCGTGTATATGGGCGGAACTGGATGGGCTGTCAAAGAATTCTCTTGGGATAACAAATATGCTGGTGTCCAAATCCTTCTCTCAAAGGTACCTAATTACGCTGATTTAGATTTGCTTTTGCAGAAAACACTTATACTCATAAACGCTTTCTACTCATAAACACTTACAATAGAGAAGTCCTTTTACTAAAAACATAATCAAAACTTTCTTACAAATCCAAGTGCCCCATAAAAAAACACTTGAAAGGGCTTTGAGAGCGTCTTTTATCGTGAACATTGTTAGCACTTTCAGAAACAGTACCAAATATCGTGAGTCTCAAGAGTTTAAGCCATTTCATCATAACTTGCAGGTGTTGTTGGAGGGAAGAGGCGATGCATACACTTCCACGCTAAAACAATATCAGGCCAAAGCAGATTACTTTGCATGTGCTTGTCTCCAGAAAAACGATGGCTACAATGTCCAGAAAACTCCTGGTAATTTAATTTAGGGTGTTTTAGATTTTGGCCCTTACAATTCATTATTTCTAGATAAAAACCCATCTATATTTAAAGATCCAGTTTAAGCCCTAATTTAAAATTTGCAAACATATAGGAGCACTATTGACCTATTAATGCAATTTATTTACACTCATGCCACTCATACTTTATGGTCCCTTTTTCAAATTCCTAAATTTATGCCAAATTAAAAGTAGTAGAAAAAGTGAAATAAAATGAAAAAAGTGTTTGCATTAACCGTATCTATGTTAAACTAGAAAAGTAGTCTTTTTTTTTTTTCCGTGATATATTTTGTAGCAATTTTATCCATATTAATTGGTAGGTAAATTAGTTTGTTCCAATTATTTAAAAAAAAAAATTACTACACCTATATTATATATTTTGAATCAAATAACATTCCTCTAACTTGTAGGTAAATTATTTTCTATGTATTGTTATATATGTTAGACACGTTTTGTTGTTGTATAAACATGAGTGAAACATAATATTGTTGATTTTATACATCAAACTGCATTTCTT